ATTATTAAAAGTGAATGTCACTACAGTCACAGCCACAAGCACCAGTGCTGTTTGGAAAGTCTTCGCTGCGATATTTAAATCTGAGAATTGTTCCACAGTTTCACAGCACCTTCACGCATACATACGTGCATGCGGGTACATGTACTTGAGGCTGACTATTTGAAGTTTGGACTTGGTAAAGATTAATGACTATTTATGTTTATTTAGCAATTACATGGCTTTGTCATTCGGTTCTTCAGCTGAAACTTGCCTCCAGGTGGTAATATTTAGTATTTCAGGCTTTTCAATTAACTCCAAAAAAAAAAACTTAAAAAACAATTTAAAGTAGTTAAATGGCCGAGCAAGTATCGACTTCGTAATTTTGTTCCCTAATCGTGGTAAGTGAAAATTTGTATCATATTAAGAAAATATTACTAGAACTCAGAAATCCATGAACAAGTGAAGACCTTCCTTCATACCATTTATTCTTATCACTATAAATAATATGATACGTTTTTGGTTTTGGTAAGCTCAAGGCTTGTGGTTCACTGAGAAAGATTTAAAAATTTGCCCAGATCATTATTAATCTCATTACAAATTGTTTAAATAGCGAATCTCATGAGTGCCTAGTAAGAGCTCTAGGCAAGATTGGAGAAGAAGCGGATATCGTGTTCCAAGTTTGTGCGTTTTCAATCGCTTCAAAATATGATTTTTTTTCTCTTTTACTCTCTTCTAAAACTATCCAAGTAAATGTCTTCAAAATTTCAGCATTTTTAGTGGCCGAGCATCGGGCAGGGTCGAATGCTAGGGCGTTCTCTCGAGTTTTCAGTTTTAGAAGACTTAGAAAACGGTGCAAAGACAATATATCCGTTCGAAAAATATCAAAGCGATCTATCTTCAGTGATAAATTATCTTCTATTTAAACTAAAAAAAAACTCGACAAAAGAATTAGCTAAAATATTTTTTTTTTTAATAAATCGCCTAACTTCTAAAAGCGTTAAAATTGTTCAAATCTGCTACACAAATGGTGAATATAAAATTTGACTCAAGCAATTCGTAAAATTTTAAAGGAATTTGATATTGCAAGGGATTTGTAACGTCATTTCGCTGGTGAAAGTGAAAAAGTAGCCGAAGCAGGCACAGGTCTTCGACGTTCGCTTAAACTGGGACTCTCTTTTGGCATATTATGACGTAGTTTGCACTTGGACTTACACACACATCTATGTGAAGTCCAGCTCGCACAACAACTGAAGCCAGTTGATCACGTACATACGACTATTGGAACACAATTTTTTTCAGCGCTGCGGAAATTTCTTAAATATTCAAAATTGTCGCATTTGGAGCTTCCAGAGTTCTCAATTGATGGGAAAGAGCAGTCAAAAAACTTACTGCCCTGAGTGCTCTTTAGTTCGAAGGTATGATTGGACCTTATTTTTTTGAAAACGACGGCAGCCAGACTGTCACTGTCTATTCGAAGCAAAAGGAGTTCCATGAGAAAAAGTATTTGAAAAGCATTTAATTTACGATTTTTGTTTTTGAAACTATGAAAAAATCCTGTATTTCGTTCCCTCTTATGACATTTTGCCTGGAAATATGACAGGTATGCTGTTACTTCGCACAATCTCACAGAAAAAGTGGTTCTTGATTCGGCGTAGGTTCCTCAGAAAAGAGCAACAGAAAGAGTCAACATACAAGTTGATGATTGTTAGTGTAGTTAGCTGACTCAATGGCTTTTCTTGCAGTCAATATTATTTCAGTTTATAATAACCTCGCATTCGATCGGCTTATAAGGACTTATTTCAGAATCTATGGAGCTACATAAATATCAATTCAATAATAATCTATATTCCATGAAACTAAAAGTAATTACAAAAAATAATTAAATAGTCAAACGAGCTGAAAATCACATCATCAAAAATCTAGTTTCATCATTTTAACTCTGACAAATAAATTAAGATATTAACTAACTTGAGAAAATTCCTATCAAAGCGCATTAAAGCAAAATTGCAAAATATAAAAGGAAAAGAATCCGAAGCTTCCAATCAAAATCCGAAAAAAGTGAAAACAAAGAAAACATGAAAAAGGCAAAACAAACGAACGTAAATTGGTGAGCTGCAGAAAAACCGCAAATCACATAAATTATTGCAATAAACAAACATAATCGTAATAAAGACGATTTACGAGCACAACTTATGGCTATACAAACACACACACAAACACACAAGCGATGAAGTATTCAAGTATATATGTATGTGTCCGCATTGAACAATACTCGTGTATATAAATTTGTGTATACAAACAGGCACAATGACAAACAGACATACAAGCATTGAGAGACAGTCGAACAGACAAAGAGACGGTGCGACACAAGCAGAGCTTTATAAATACAAGAGCATACAAGACAGATACATGAGCTGTAAACAAGTGGAGGAAAAAGAAGGAGAAGAAGACAAAAAGGCGGCAGGAAGCAAGCTTTGCTTAAACAAAAATACATAGTTTTGTCTGTGTGAGCAAATAAATAATAGCGAGGGAAATTGCCTGGCTTAACTGGGTTGCCTGTGGAGGTAGCGTTGTAGGGAGAGAGGCAAAGCCGGATGCGGGAGATTTTTGATTGCGGCCCAGGTAGGGCACTGCGGTAACTTATGCACATACGTATGTATGTAATTGTACATCAGTATAAATATGTAGGTGCTTCCAACTTCACTACACAACACTAATAGTTATTTACCTCTCTCGCTCACTCACGCTCTGTCCCTCTCTGTCCGCGCTCCCCCATGCAGAAAACAACCACAAATCGGCGCTACGCGAAAGCAATTCGAATTAATAAAAGTTGATATATGATCATGTGAAAAACATGTGCTACATACATACACAGTCATGCTGTTGACGCTGCCAGGAGCTGGGACGTGCGAAATCTTTGTATGTTCGTTAGCCTCATATCTCATACTCCTCGCTAGCTGGCTGAGTTGGTTAAGTGAGTATTGAAGCAGGTGCTGCATGGAGGGGCTTGACGTATAAAAATCAGCAGCCAAGCAATTTGCGAAGAATACGTGAAAGGATGTTGGTGGGAAGTGAGGCAGAAAAAAACAAATACTCATACTTGAAAGCACACATTCGAGTATATTCTCATTTAACTAGCTGTTTCTTATTATTATTGCTGCTACAGGAAAATCACTGCGAAGCAGGATACTACCACCTCATTCTGGGGTTTCGGGCGCCAAGGCGACAGTGGCAATTTCACATCCGCTGATTGCTTTGTATGCTGCGGGCAATAAGTCATTAACCAAAAAACAAATTCCGAGATTAGCTCAAAAACAAATATGTTAACATTATTTTGCCTGTATATATTTATATACACACACATACATACCTATGCATGTCTGTCTATTATTTTTATTTTTTTTCTACTCAGCCTCAGGCACGCATGTCACTTTGGAAGCGAAAGGAAGCAAATGTGAATACAAAATATATGTATATATGCTCATATTTATAGATACATATGCTCATGTATGCATATCTGCTCCTTACATCTACTAGTAAGCATAGATTATAATTGTGAAAATATTAATAAGTATGCCAGTATGCAAATAGTTCTAGGCGCAAACCAAAACAGAGCGCAAATAATGGTTGAATTTTGTATGCTTCCATGAGTGTATACATACAAATCTAAATACGTAACTAACGCAAGAAAGTATAATTATGTTTTCGTTATATTTGCGCTCGTGTAGCCCAAAGTTAAAGTTTATTAAATGATTTTTGGCAAACAAAACTTTTCACTTAAAACATTTTTGCTAATATTGTTTTCTACTAATGCGACTTTTGGCGCTTAGAAAATAACTTTTCAACTCATTATTGTCGGAACGTGATTAATTACTGCATGCTAAGAAGTGAATGGCAAGGAGCTCCGCGCACAGTAGTAAATTCCCAATATATTTAAGTCAAAAATAATAAATGTCAGGATATGTTTTTTTTTGTATTTTTTTTAAATATAATAGTATAAAAAAATAAAATAAATTTTAATAAAATATAATACATATATAAACATACATAATTGACGCTTTGTAACCGCTAAAGCGATTTTCGGCCGAGCTCCTCCTTCGGTTTGTGGTTTTCCATCCTTATGTTTATCCAACAAATGGAGAGACCTACAGTTTATACTAAGCCGTCCCCGATCGGCTGATGGTTTTTTTATGAGGAGCCATAATTTCATGTCAGAAATACACTCGGAGAGGTTGACACTCCCTGCCGAGGGGCGACAGCAATAAGAAGATTTAACTAATTTTTTTTTTATTTAAATTAATTTTCTACAACTTTTGGATTGAACCCAAGCATTCCGAATGACAGTACGCAAAGCAAATTAACCAAAATTAAATAAAATGAAACAAAAAATTATTAAATGAAATAAAATAAATTATTTAAAAAAAATTTGCGTAAATAAAATAAAAATAAATTAAATTAAAATAAAAGTTAAAGAAAACAAATGAAAAGTAAGTAAAGTAAAAATAAACAAAGTGACAAAGTAAAATAAAATAAAATAAAATAAAATAAAATAAAATAAAATAAAATAAAATAAAATAAAATAAAATAAAATAATATAATGTAAAATAAAACAAAAAAAATTAAAATAAAATAAGATCAATTAAAAAATATATAAAATAAATAAAATAAAATAAAACAAACAAAAAATAAAATAAAATACAGTAATTTAAAACAATAACATAGAATAAGATAAAATAATATAAAGAAAAATTAATTCTAATAAATAAAATTATTAAATATATTCGATTAGTTGTAAATTGTTGTACATGACGAAAATCGTAGTGAATGGTATGAAAAATGATGTATCGGAAACCAAATGGAAGCAGCTACCTTATGCACATAATATTCAAATTTTATTTAGGAAAACGTATTTATGCCAATACAATATTTATACAATCTTTTTATAAAACATAAATATTCCTGACAATTTTTATGTTCTTAAAAAATTATTAAATAAAATCTCCTCCCTTCTTCTCTTGCAGTGCTATTTGAATTGTGCATCACCACTTATTTCTCCAACCACCACCACCACCACAACTACTACAGTGGCAACAACGATGTCCATCATTGTAAGACAAAAACAACAGCAACAGCAAATGCAACAAACGCAACAAACATCAAAAATTAACAAACCAATTCAAGAAACTTGGACCTTACATACAGTTTCAATGTTGCAACAAGACTCATTGGTACTCGTCGACATCGCCTGGGATGCTCTAAATACACCCAATCAATGTTTAATCAGCTGGGAGGTATCTGGTGGTGGTTTAATGGGTAATCTCTTAACTGAGTCATCAACTGTGCAACTATCATTGTGGCCCGATACCAAATATCGTGTTAAGGTCACCTGCAAAAATAAGGTGAGTAAGGAAGAATTCAAGTAAAATAATTTTTAACATAAAAATATATTTAAAATAATAACACAACAACATTTACATAAAGCACTTTGCAAATGAATAGAACGAGCTTTCACTTGCTGTTTGATCCATGTTTGCGATAAGCTGCGAGTGGGTGTAGCGTTAATTGAAAACCGTAGAAATCCTTTCACAGAATTCGTTGTTTAGGCGTAATAACAATGCAATTTCAGCAAGAATTTCGAAAGTAATTAAATCCGCTGAATGGTAGTAAATAATTGGATTTTGTGATGAATAGTGCATTGCTAAACTATGGGAGAATTTTGAATTCCAATTTTTTTACAGAAATAACATATATATAGAGTTTTTTTTATCATAAATAACGTAGATAAAGTTTCTAAAAATAAATTTACAATAAATTATATTAAATCCTTAATAATAATATATAAGTATTTAGAGCATAAATTTGTTCACCTAAAATTCTTACGATGATAGTTGAAAGTAGTCTCTAAATATTCTTCCAAAGAGTTTCACTTAGAAGAAACTCTTAGATAGCTTAGGCTGGGTTATAACGGTTGATTGCTAGGCTGAATTCGAGCTAAAAGAGTGGTATCTCAAGACACTTTTTCCAAAGCTTTGTAGGCCCTTTATATAAAGTTTTTAAATGTGTAGCTAACTCACCGGCTTTCTTGCCACAAAGATTTCTGCTTGGAAATCACTATAATATTTAATACAGAAAATTGCTTTGCTTATTGTACTATTCACAAATGGGTTCAGAAAAAATTCAAAAAACCCAAAAAATCAGTACATTTGGTTTGCCCATAGCTGTGTTGCATAGATGCATCAGCACCAAACATCTTCTTACATTTTTGAAGGGAAATTGTCGGAATTTCTTCCAAATTGAGCTTCCACAACAGATTGCTTTACAACTTTAATCCTATATATTTGATGTGTTCCTTTATTGTTAGTGCCGACGCGCTGAGATCCGAAGGTGTCTACGCATCTGGGATCTTGTAAAATCTATTTTATCCATTTCATCGCCATTAGGAGTTCAGAAAGGTTCAGAAGGTTAAAAAAACACATATAATTCAAAAAAAAAAATTTATGAAATTTTTATTTGAATCGATAGTACGGCCCATACAATTTAATGTTTGATGATTATTTCATGCACATCTTGTCCGTGACTGCGCCTCAAATGGTCCATCCGCTTAGTCCAAATTTGGCATACTTTTTCCAACATTTTTGGCCGGTATCTCAAGAATAAATGTTTCAATGTTGCCCTCCAAAAAAGTATCTTTAACTCAAATAAGCAACCAGCAACTAGCAAAATAATACTCTGGGTGCCCCTAGCATAGATTTACCGGATTAAATCAAACCTCTCTCATACATTTTTACTATTTATTTAAAGTACTAAACTTTGCCTTTTGTTTTATTCTCTTTTTCTTACAGCTAACCGGTTTCATGTCCCGTTCGCTGCCGCTGAGCATCGACACATCCGAAGCCGTGAATGCACACGATCATACCGGTCAACATAAGACCCAGTCACCTAACGCCGAAATCACATCAGTTTCCACCACAACAGTTGGCACCAAAATCTTTACTCCCTATAGACATGAACAGCAACAACAATTTCAGTCGCAACAAAATATCGCCAACAATGCACTTGAACACATGAATGGTGGCGTCAATGACGAGGACACCGACATCTCATCTCACTCTAACGGTTATTTGGCCGATGTGGATAATGCCGCCGTGTTGCCATACGATGAGCACGATAATGAAGAAGATCAATCGGCAGAAGCTTTGAATAAACACACCAAATTCATTTTCAATTGGCACTCGGAGAACAGTGACATTAGTCTGATTGAACCCATACACAAACCTGATCTCAATATGCTGCAATTGGCCATCGATGATGTGCAGAAACCCTTCCTCTTTGGCTTAACTGCTGGCACTGTTATGCTTGGACTGGTGGCGCTTGCGCTGCGTTGTATGTTGCGTCGCCGGCGTTCGGCGTTGGAGAAAACTATGCTAATCACAGACGATACAATACACGCGGTGGTGTCCGTGGCACCGGCTGAGGTAGCCATGCGTTATGCCAATAACAAGGCGGCGGCACGTAAGGCCGTAGAGGGTGGCAAACATGGTTGTGGTGGAGGAGGGAGCGGTGGCGTCCCGGCTGGTACATTAGGTGCAACGTCACTGGCATATCAGCGTCACAGCGATGAAGAGGAGGAGGTCTGCGAGCGGCAACGGGAGCGCGGCATGGAGGAGGTGTGTAGTAATCCCGCGATTTGCTCGAGAAATGCGCTCAAAGTGTAAGTACGTGGAAATGCAGATGAAGGGTTTTGGTGGGCACTGAAGGGCAGGGCGGATGAGTAACGTGAATTGATTGAGATTACAACAGGAATTATAAAGTTACACACACACTAAAAATGGATAAAAGAAAAAGAAAAATAAAATAAGAACAACAAAGTGGAAAATAAATATATAGTAAGCTTGATTTGGGTTAGGAGTGCAAAATAATAAAAATGAAAATTAAAAAAAAAATATATAAATTATCTTCAGTAGGGTAAGCAGCATTAAACTAAGTAAACAACTATTATTATGTATGTTTAGATTAAGCGATAAACTCCATTTAATATCTTATTATATATATATATATAAATAACAAAAATAGATGTTCTCGTTTCATGCCACATTTTTGGCAATTACTTTTTGATAGACATAACCTATATTTAAGCAAACATATGTATTTACCTACATACATGACAAGCAAGCAAGCAAACAAACCAACAACAACAAAATTTATTGTAGCTACGAGTAACTCATTCATATTCAAACGCATTTTGGCTAAACAAATCAATATTCATTCTAAATAAACATACATGTGTTTGTGTTGCAACATTTATTGCATTTGTGTGTGTTGCCAAGTTGAAATTTTGAAATTTTGTGGTGCCTCCACAGATAGTACATGTCTTACAAATATACATACCCCAATTTGCATGTACATATATGCAATATATGTGTATATATATATATATATATAACTAATTAGTAGTAAGCCTGGTACATATGTATATGTGTATATATATGTAGAACTGCATAATACATTATTTACAGTCAGTTGATTGCCTTTATTTGTGTTTTGTATTTGAATGCTACAATTACATGGTTATGACCGTTAGTTTAGTGTATGAATGATTCAGCTCTTAATAGCAATACAAATGGCAATACAAATGTATGTATGTAGGCTTCTTGAGTGTTTGTGAGTGTGAGCTTGTACAACTTTAGCTATTAGGAATTCCAGCTGACAGCTGAGTGTTTGTATGTTAGTTGAGAATGACAGACAGTGAAAGAGAGAGAGAGAGAGAGAAGGAGAGAAAGAGTTAGTGTGAGCGTGAAAGAGCATGAAGAAGGTAACTCAGTTTCCTGAGTTAACATCTGTATATAAGAACTAGTATTAAATCATTTAAATTGTTATAAAATGAGCATGCAAGCAGTTGGCGTTTAAACTTATGTTAATTAAACTTACATTTATATTTTCCAGCATTTTTGAATATTTTCCTTGACTGAAATGATACTGTGGCTCTATAAGTTGATGTCTGATGTCCATTCAGTCCACGAGACACAGCCAGAGCCTCATAGCATCACAAAAGACCACTACATCAGCCGCATGGTGTCGTAAAATAAGTCCACTTTGATTTTTTCTTAACTTTACTAAACTACTCATTTCCGTACCGGCTATCAACGTCATTTTGTTCTGCATAAAATTAGCAGTCTTCATTACTGTTCTGCCTTTAGCGTTGTACAAAGTTGACTTAAAGTCTTGGTTATCTTAAATGACCCTCGGCTCAAAAAAGACCCCGACTTAGTAAAGAAAACACGTTATTCTTTGTTCTAAATTGGTTTTATTGAAGTCCCATTTTTCTCTCTTTTCCATCGCGAGAGAGGTTGAGAGAGAGAAAGGGAGAAAGATAGGTAGAAAGATAAGTTTCTCATAATCTCCATTAAGGGTACGATTTAACTTTTGCTTCAAAAGAGGTCACATTTTCAGTGAAATATGTTCTTGAAACAGCGAAACTCTGTACTGGTCAGCACTTGTCGAGGCCTGTGACCAGCCACAAATATTTTTCTGTGTCTAGAGGTGAGATTGCCTGGCGTGATAGCAGAACATTCTCATATGTAGCTTCTGTCCGAGGCTTAAACTTTTGTAGTTTTTGATATTTCCAACTCATTTGGGTGTTCACTGCATTTGCATTATTTACTGGAATTCTTAAAACACTTTTCGAGCTTTTTTTTATTGAGCTTCAACGTTATTTTTCCAATCAAGGGGAAGAAATTGAATATAAACTGTTTTTTATCCATCAATTTCTACTTAGTACAACAACTCGCAAATTAGTTTAGTAGAAAGTTCTGAAAATTTCAAGACTTTCTTTTTAAACTCACAAAAGTATTAAATGCAAAATATCTACTGCGAACCGATTTGAATCCTTCTTGGGATTTCAGTATAAAGATAGCCAACCAAAATACTAAAATTAAAACCTTAAAATCCATACTTTTTTGCCTCTGAAAAAATTTACAAAATTTTTAGACTCCAGGTAAAATAGCTGATTTACCTGATTATAGCTAAAATATCTTTTCTGTTCCGGATATCAGGTTTTGATTCTTTCAAATTCTGGAAAAAATGTACAAATTATTCATTTAGCAGGATTTCATAGTGTTTTTGGTCTTGTAGTCTGATATCAGTGCTTTTCAGTGAGTAATATGACATTTTCGGGTACAAAAATATCCAGTTTTGAATATTCTAAGGTCAATCACTTCGTTTTCTTTTTTTTAGTTAAACGCCAACTGCTAATTTTTTGATTAAAATCTACCTTCAATTAAATGTGCAATGAAAAATAAAAATAAAAATAAACATAAAAATGTTTCTCAGAATCTCTTTTTATTTTTAAGTAATAATTAAAATAATAGGTATTTTAAATTAAGGAAAAAGTAGTGGTAAAATTACTTGCACAACTTGCAAATTATAGAAATTTACGTTGCTTTTAGAAAAATATAAATTCATTTCGGCTTTCTTGCTTTTTTAGAAAATAAATGCTACGCGAATTCAAAATAATTTCAATTCAAAATTCTTTAAAAATGATTGAGACAACAAGAAGAAAAGCTGAAGGGTTATTTAAAAAGAAAAATACTTTACCTTGCCCCCTATAAAAACCGCACCATGCAATTCCTTAAAGCACCAACCCCATGCACACTCACACACACGCCCCACCTTCGTTTCTGAACGTTGTAGAATTAAAAATAAAAACACAAAAAATGTTATCTTCCATATAAAAATCAAATAGATGAAAAGGCTTCGCATTTAAAGTTGAACGATTATTTAAAAAGAGCGATATTTATAAAAGAAAGCAGAAAAATTATTTATTTATTATTATTTAATTTTTCTAGAAAGACACATAATCAAAACTAAGCGAATTTTTTAGTGAAAACTTAAACGTAAAAAGGGAGAAAGGGAATTTTTTTAATATGTGTGTATTGGTGTGCGAAAAAAAAATTTAAAAATTAAACAAAAGAGCTTACTTATTTAAAAGATTGTGTGATTTCAAAGCAAGAGATGCTGGCGAGAGATGAAGGAAGCGGTAGTTAGATATACATACATAAGTACATATTTTAGGGTCTTTAGCGTGGTTGGAGCCTCGTACCTCAAGTAGTACCTCAGGCATCTAATAAGTCTAATGAATTTTCCGAAGAGAAAATATTTTTCAAAAATCCGAAAGCTCTTCGTAACTTTTTTCTGAGATTTTCTTATATCGCCACCACCGCCGCCTCCAACGCTCAAGCTTAGCTTGCTTTGAACACACGCGAAAACCACTTTCGGCATTAACCTCAAAACTTTAGGCATATTAATTATAAGATAAAAAAATTAAAAAGAAAATATTAAAAAAAAAAAATTGTAAGCAAAATTCAAAATTTAACCGTAAAATTTAATCAAAGTAAAATTAAATAAGTGTAAAATTGGTGTGAATTTGTGTTTCCGCTACTGCAAAAACACAACACCAACTACAACAAACAAAGAGGTTCAGAAAAAATGTAACAGCAACGACAAATGCAACAAAAAAAATACAATTCTTCCGCTGCGCTAAAAGTGTTGCATGTTTTTTGCAAAGCAGCCACGAAAACACAAATCAACAACAAAATTTAAGCAAAAATCAAAATGTTTAATACAAAACAAAAAAAAAAATACGAAAAACAACAACAACAAATGAGCACGTCGATATTCCTTATTAAAAACGAACAAACAAACAAACAACAAGTGTATGTATGTAATGTCTGAATAAAGCGACGAAGCAATTTCCCCACAAAGAAACCAATAAAAAGCTGACGAAAAAATTCATTTTTTTTCGGAAATTTTTGTTGGTAAGCCGTGCGGAAAATGCGGAAACGCTGCTTAGTTAAGTTTTTTCTAGATATTATTATGATTTTGCTTTAAATGTCGTTTGCTTTTTTAAAATCAATTAAAATTTTATTTTTCAAATAAAATATATATGTGTATAGTAAAGGTGTTGATAAAAATTATTAGAAAATAAAAAATTATATATGGAAAAAAAATTGGAAAGTATAAAAAAAGAAAAAATGCAGTTAACGAAATTAGCGTGAAGCCAAAATTCATTCTTTGCTAAATCGAGTTTGCCAAATTATTGATAATATTTATTAAATCAGCAGCAATCAAAAATGAACCCCGAGTCGCTTCCATTTAAATGTATAAATGCACAAAAGCCATCGAGAGAATAGGAAAAGAGTGGATTTTGAGATTTAAATGATAAATAAATAAATATAGCCGAATTAAACGAAACAATAAATTAACTTAAAATTAAGCAACTTAAAACAAAACTAAGCAATATAAAATAAAATGTAAAATAATTATATATCGTAAAATGAAAGGAAGATAAATCAAAATAACAACATAAAAAGCTCTAAAAAGTAGAATACAATCCCAATAATATAAAGAAAAAAAAATTTTGAAATAAAATAAAAAACTTAAACAAAATTGATTTAAAATAAAATAAACAAAATAAACTATAAAACAAACAATGCAATAATTTAAAGAGAAAACAATTAAAAAAATAAAAGTAATTAAGGTAAAGTAAATTAAATTAAATTGCGTTAAATAAAGAAATAATAATGCAAAATAATAAAATATTAAATAAATTATAATAAAATTAAATAAAAAAAATAGATGTAATAATGTATAATAAGAAAAATTAAATAAAATAAAAAAAATAAAATAAATTAAAATAAAATAAAATAAAATAAAATAAAATAAAATAAAATAAAATTAAATAAAATAAAAAATAAAATTAAATTAAATAAACTAAATTAAAAAAAAAATAAAATAAATAAAATAAAATAAAATTAAATTAAATTAAATTAAAATAAATTAAATAAAATGAAATAAAATAAAATAATATAAAATAAAAAAACTAAATAAAATAAAATAAAAAGAAATAAGAAGAAGTTAAACAAAATAAAACAATATAAACTAAAATAACATATAATTAAATAAAATAAAATTAAATAAAATAAAATTAAATAAGATAAAATAATAAAACGAAAAAAAATAAAAAACTTAAATTAAATTAAATTAAATAAACGGTAATCAAATATAATAGTACAAAATGAAAAAAAATATAAATTAAAATAAAAAGTATTAATTAATTACATTTAAAATTAAATAATAAAATAAACTGAAATCAAATAGTTTTAAATTAAATTCAGTTAAATTAATGAGAAAAAAGGACATTAAATATAATGTAAAATAAATTAAAATAATTAATAAAATAAAAAAAGAAAATAAATGAAATATAAAATAAAAAAACTTAAGTACATTAAAATAAACTAAGAAATGCATAAAAAGTCAAAATAAAATTAATTAAATTAAAATAAAATGTGATAAATTTAAAAAATAATTATAAAAGATAACTAAAATAAAATATATTTAATTACTATAAAATAAGACAAAAAATATTAAAGGCTAAAAAAATAAAATAATATAATATAAAAAATTAAAACAAAAGAAAATAAATTTAAAAAACTAAAAAAATTAATAAACAAATTTCCACGCTTCTCATAATCTTCTTTCACTTGCGTACTCCCTCTGGTTTTTTACATAAACCCAAATTGCACTAAAACACAATTGAACCAAAATCACACAAAACCAATGCACTTCCGAATTCCCGACACATTCATAAACCTTTTACCTCTAGCTTATGTACATATTATATATAAAGGATGAATGAATTAATAGATGTTGTGGAGAAACGCCACAGTGTTTGAGTTAACACTGTAGTAGTTGTTGTAGCAACGTTTCAGAGCGTTACTTACCACAGGCATAAGAAGTATTAAAAGATTAGCATTGCTATGTGGCTTGCATATGAACAATACAAGCCCTTATAGAACTGAATAGACATACATATGTATGTCATTGAATATATTTAAAAATAATCTTTTTATATTCATTAGATCATTCATGAAACATTCAATTCGAAAACTATGTTCATTTCCATTGCTCAGACATTTTTACATAGATACGCTTTGCCTTTAAGTAAGATATTGTATTTATCTCTTTGTATTTATAAATCAACATGCCAATGTATGTATGTATGTACATTTGTATATTTCACGGAACAGCATTAATGATATTAATGACATACGTACATATGTAGATACGCAATTCAACTCGTACAATTTATTAACTCCTGCAATCACTCAAGCGCTCATGCATGCATACATAACATATACATACATTTTAACATCCATTGCATATTTAAGCTTGTATTTGTATTTACTTATAACTAGATATGTATGTATGTACTTATGCCACAACGGTATTTAAACGCTCGTTCATTCAGTAATTCCCCATTCATTTTAACATAAAAACAAACATACTCACAAGTGTGTGTTAATATGCTTTTGTATGTATATACTCGTACATTCAATGCTCTTAAATCGCTTTTCGTTCGAATATTCAATCAGTTAACCATTTATTCAAGATATTCAGTCATATTCTCATTGACATTTAATAATTCACTTATACTCGCAGTCGCTTTGAATGTATTGTACATGTAAGTGTACATATTAATATATTATATGTCATTTGTGCATATGTGTGCGTGCAATAATCAACACATTCATTCAAGCAATTCATCTCAGATAGCAAATAGATAGTATTAACGGTAATATAATGAATACTCGTAAATACATGCATATATGCTTCAAAACTACATATTACCACTACATAAATATTGAATAATAATAAATATCAAATAATTATCATAGCATACAAATATTCTATATATATATGTATATGTATACGTTAAATTTAATATGCATATACACACATATAATTCCGCTATTAGATAAGCATTAAAGCTGATAGAAATCTCAATAGTTATATACAAATATACAACATACCCCACTACAAACAGATAAATACTATATATTTATACATAAAAATATATAAGCAAATAAATAGTTTACAGTTAATACAAAAAGTATGTGTGTAAGCAGAGCAACTCTCAAACTCAACTACATTTGTAAAAATTTTAATGTATTTAACTAATATATTATTGAGCAACAGTTTTACGTTTACATACACACTACAGACAAAGGCAAACTAAAGACATTCATACAAACTAAAATACAAATCAGAATCAATAAATATGCAATAGAAAAGGAGTTAAACTTCAGCAAATGATCGGAAAGTGTAGGTAGGCAGGCACAAACTCACATGCATTGCGGAAACATTTGAATTAAGTTTCCAACTGATTTATTTTGAATAGCCGGACCTCAGCATGAGTGTAGGCTTTTCGAACTACTTTGA